AAATCCCACCAGCACATATTCCAGCTGAAGGGTCGACAGCATCAGAAGGAGTTGGGTTTAAACCGGCTGAAGGTAAATATTTGAATGTACTGGAAAAATCTTAGTGCAAATAAAATAGAGAATGATAATTCTAAAATTAAATCTTCAAATTAAGCTCAAGATTCACATTCTCAAACACGACGAACTGAATCCGAGATATCTGATATGTCTCTTCTCGATCTCGTAAAACAAAGTGGTCAAGTCGTTCAGAATAAAATTAATTTATTAAGTAATGCTGTTGGTAATCATAATGTCGAAAATGTGCACGAGAATACTCATACCAATGGAAATTCTTTTGATGGTATATATTCACAATAGAAGCATGGATTTTCTTGCATTTTATTTTACTCATTTGAATGTATATTCTTAGTCGATAAAAAAGATCAAGAAGAAGATAAAATTCCAACAGCGCACATTCCAATTAGAGGGTCGACAGCATTAGAAGGAGTTGGGTTTAACGCGACTGGAGGTAAATATCTTCGTTTTATTCGCATATTATTTTCAGCAAGAAATACTTAATACTTGATAATCTACCGAATATTACTTTAAGCTCGACCAACTAACAACAACAATAGCTCCAAAGAGCCAACAAAAGAGAATATTACAAATGATGATTCATCACAATCAAAAACACAAGTTAGTTACATTGATCAAGCCACAAACGTTATTGATAATATTCTCGATTCTGTAAAGGTAAATTCTCAATTTTTAGTATATTATTATTTGATTATTTTACTAAACCGAAATTTTATCTATAGACAACCATCGGATCACTTGTCGGTAACGTTGAGCCCGTGAAGCAACAAGATGCCACTATTACTGAAAGTCAAACTGCAGCAAAACAGTAATAACAGTTGTAGCATAGTCGTCAAAATTATTTATATGTATCTTCATTTTCTCGACATCTATATTTTAGTTTTCAATATACAATAAATAGGATCAATAGATAACAAATCAAATTCATAGTGAATACACGCGACGCGATTAATGATACTATTTTTCGTGATGACGTAACATTTCGTCACGTCATTCGTCAGTCGAAACCCCAGACGATTGACGAAACCCGTCATTAGAAATCTAGTACATGTGTTTGATTGGCTGAAAACCATAAACGATCAAAATTATGCTGAATTTTGGCTAACATGAAAACCTGAGAAAAGTGTATAAATATATACCTCTGGTAAAAATTATGTAAAAGCTTGACTTGATCTATTGTTTTTATGGTTTAGTTTACTAAAATTGTCATTCGTCAGACGATTCGTCATTCGCCATTTACATTTCCAAAGTTTCGTGAAAATCAATACATGTACATGTATGCATTTTGCGCATTCGTTCATTTCCAAAAATGTCAGGCATCAACTAGTATTTATTGGTCAGAAAGTTTCGTCATAGGTTTCGTCAGGTTTCGCCATTCGTCACAGGTTTGGTCATTCGTCACAGACATTTTCAAAATGGTCGTGACGAAAGGTTTCGTTATCGTCAAGTATCATTAGACGCGATTACCATATGAAACATCCGTTAGAAACATACTATGTATTTGAAATGTCAATTTACGCCGATATTTTTTTATTCAATAGTACATTTATGGTAATTCTACACGCAAGTATATAACGATAAAGTGAAACTACGTAATCATCAAAATTGAAAATTCAAAATCAAAATAATGATACCGAAACATAAATTTTCATCTATAGTAAAGAACAGATTAATTCTCTTTTTCGTTGCTAGAATACATGCTAATAATAAACTGGTGGCATTGCAGTAAATCCGATAATAATAAAAGGATCAAACTTTTTTGATTCGGTTACCTAAGACCAATTTTTTATTAAAGATGTAGCATATCAACCAAGTTCAACAGGTTCCGCTCAGTTTAATGATCCTTTAGCTGTGTCAAATGCCTGTGAACGGGATATTCCTTATTTGAAGGATTTAGATGTTTCGCGTTTATGAGGTGATTAATTTGAATTAACGTTAAATTAGCCAAAATGTATGCAACTATTAGCCGACGCCGGAATTTTATTAGTTGTTGATCTAGTAATATAATTATTAGCATAGCTATACTATATTATTGATTTTTTTATTTATCTATTATTATTATTATTTTCTTTTTCACATTACTCTTCTTTCTTTTGATAATTTGACATGTACAAATATCTTGGATCTGCTTATATCACTTTTGTTATTGTGTGTGAATGATATTGTTTTAGTCTTTGTTGGTCTTTATCAGGAGTAAATGATAACATTTTGCATTTTGTAATTGTGAAAAAGTGTTTTTTCTTATTAGAATAAGTAATCTTTTTGTTTTTCTTCTTTTTTGTTGTTATTGGTATTTTTACTCTATTATGAAAAGAGTTTGATATTGTTTTTCAAAATATTCTCTTCATCTTTTTCTTTTTAAGAATTTGTTCTCAAATTCCAGATTTCTTTGCTTATTAGATGCAATTTTACTTTTTAACCTTAATTAGGTGAGTTTCTTTGTTAATTATTGATTAACTGGTGATAATTTATATATAATAGAGTTGTTTTTGTATTGAAGAAGTATTGAATAATAAATTTTGGTTTTTCTTGTTCAAATTTTGGATAATTGTTATTTTTCAATAAAAATTTTATCAATAACTTTGAGCTATAATAACTTAGTTAATTTATATTCAATTTTGGAAAAATATATATTGTTATAATATAAATATTTAGTTCTTACTTTATTGATTAATTTATATTATAATTTAATTGGATAAGATTTTGTTATATTTTATTAGTTAAAAATTAGTTTTAATTTAATTAGATAATTAATTAATACTTTATTATTAATTAATGTCAGCAATACTAGTAATATCAATAATACTAGCAACACTATAAACATAAATAATATCAGTAATGCTAATAATACTTTTAAATATTAAATAATATTGATAATACTTGTAATCAAAAATTTATAAGATTAATACTGTTAATAAAATTGATCTATAAAATTAATACTGTTAACAAAATTTATCTATAAATTAATAATAAATACTATGAGTAATTATTATAAATATAATATATATTTTAAATAGAATTAAATAAGTTTCTGAACTTTTAGCTTTCTTTACTTTGATAAAAGACTTTAAGTCTTCTCACTTAGAGATTCTCATTTGAGAATTCTTGTCACACACTCTTTTAATTTCAATTTTTTATTTTGAATTTTTGTTTTAATAGTTAATTACTATATTAATATGTGTTAATCACATTAATAATTATATTATAACCTCTGAGTTAACATATAATTAATCATATTATAATATTGTTATAATCTCTGGCTTAATAAATTAATCAAGTATATTATTAATGGATTAAAAAATTTTAATTTCTTAGATTTAAATAAAATTTATCTATTATTATTTTTGAAGTCTTTGTAGCTCAAGTTAGTTTATCATTTTGAACAATATATTTTGTTTATTGATAAATAATATTAGTAAGATTTATATTATATTTAGTTTATTAGTAATATCAATAAACTCAACCTTTATTTTTTTAAAATTAATTCTTATTATATCATATTGAGTAATTTTTTGAAAAATTTACAAATTATTCTACTGAGCAAAATACTTAACAAAGAGGAAGTAAAGACAATTAAAAATTTATTTTTTGGATTTGGTTAAATCTTACATTATTATATTTGAAAAATTCTTTTTTATTTTTATTTATATTTCTATTATTAATATAAATTCTTAAATGGATGCAAAAACATGATTGATATCAATTATTAATAGAATAACAATTATTTATTATTTGTTTACTCATCTATATTTATGATAAATAATGAGAAAATTTTAATTAATAATCATTTAGATAATTATTTATTATATTTTCTTTATAAAAATATCTATTTTATTTTTATTCTTTCATAATTTATTTTATTTTTATTAAATTTTATCATTATTATTACTTTTAACAAATATGAATTTTAAGTAAATAGAAACTGTTGTTATGACTAATTCTCCAACTTAAGTCATTGAGGTATTGGTTCAATATTACTTGAATTTTGTAATGGATGTTTTCCATCATATACACAATTTAAATCTTTTTATTATCAATTCCATCTTAATGGAAGAGTTGGAACATATACTTTAGTCCTTCACTCTAACCCTAACCCTGATCCTAACGGTAACATATATCACGTGTTCACATCTCAAGTTTGTTACACAACAGCGTCAAAAAATTATAAATAAAGCCCGAATACAAGGGAGGCAATTTAAAAAAATTCTAGCGATATAATAATAATAATAAGAAAATGAAAATGACTGCTTCAAAATCCAAGACTTCTCACACAACCATATCTTCCGCAATACGACGACATGATCGTTCTGAAATAGACACAACTGGCCGCCGTTCAATTTTTCAAGTACGTGGAATTTCATACCCGCCACGACGACGCGCGAAATCTAATAAACAAAATTCCCAAATCGAAAACGACGAAAACGAAATTTTCGAAGAAGTCATTCGAATTCTTGAATCACATATTGACGGAATTGAACAAAAGATAAATGTCTTAACCAAATCCACTATCATTCAAAACTCTTCGGAACAAATTTCTGATAAATCGAATACTAAAGACAGCAAGTTTTCAGAGTTGAGCACCGACGAATTATTGAAATTAACGCAGGATTTGGGTTTACTTAATAATAATTATATGGAACAGAATACGACAGAATTAATAGAGCAGCAAAATGAAGAGCAGAAACTAAAATTACAGCCAAGACAATTTGACTTTGTCTTTAGTTGGTGTAATATACCTTTAAATGATTTTAATATATATTCGACAAGCGAATTAGGGTCGTAAAATTCGGAAATTCTTAATGAACATTTTTTCAATGACATTAATGTATATTTCTTGTTTTTTATCAAAAAAATAATAATAATTAAGAATTGTAATAAAAATGATTTATATTTGGTCAAAAATTATGAAAAACAATTTTATTTAAGAAAGCTTATTGAAATTATAAAAAATACTTAAATAATGAATTGTGTTGCCAAACTAATAGCAAGTCATTATAAGTTCTTAATTAAACCATTCAATCTAATAGAATTTTCCTTAAAATTTAATAATATATTTCCTGATTCTTAAAAGTTTCTGATGCATGTTTCTTGTTAAAAATACAACAAAACAAAAAATTTTCATTATTTAGGTCGAGAGTACTGTAAATAAAACAAATGTCGAAATATAATTAGAGAACAAACACAACAGAACGAATGACGAAGTAACGAAAGAACAAATGACGAAGTAACGAAAGTACGCACGAGTTAATGAAAACATCATCACAAAATTAATGCTAGAAATATTATGTGTGAGAATGATTTATATATAAAAGGAACAAAGTATGCTGAAAAAAGAGGATAAAGGATAATTATCTAACGTGGTAAACATTACGAAATTTAAGTATAAATTATTAAGAGGAGAAGTTATCATATAACAAGTTGTCAAAAATGCAATTTGATAAATCATATAGTTGTAAAAGTGATTGTGGCTGTGATAAAGGTGAAGAAGTATTCATATTATCATTATTACCTTCACTACTTTGGATTTTATAAATTTTGTTTGGTTCGGAAGAAATTAGTTCGCTTAAATGAGCTTCATACCTATCTGTATTTTTATCATTACCATTATCATTATCATTATCGTTGTTGTTAATATTATCGTTATCGTTATTATCAATGAAAAATAAAATAGGAAATTGATTATGATCCAATCCATTAAACGCGTCGCCGATCGAATTTTCATTATACATAATTGTTGCAAAGTTATTTGTATTGTCTTGATGAGTATAAATGGTTGTCCCATCGACTTGTGTTATCTCTTGAGGTGAATTGAAAGTTAAAGATGACAATGTCCCGTCGATTTGTGTTGCTTCCTGGGGTGAATTGAAAGTTAAAAATGACGACCCATCGACTTGTATTGCTTCTTTAGGTGAACTAGAAGTTAGAGATGGCGACCTGTTAGTTTGTGAATTGAAAGTTAAAGAAGGCAGCCCGTCGTTTACTTCTTGAGATGACCCGTCGATTTGCATCGCTTCCTGAGGTGAATTAGAATTTATTGTGTTGGACTTAGCTGACGAAGAAAATACATATTTTTTCTGTTCTCGAAAAATAAATTCTTTACAGTTTGAATTTTTTGCATGTTTCGGTCTATATTTATAATTAGGGTATATACGCTTATGATTCTCACAAGCTATTTTCTCTAAAATTTTGAAAAAATCCTTGACTTCACTTGATTGCAATTTCCACTTTAAGCTGCATTCATTTGCTGTGTTTTTGACTTTTTGCTTAACACCAGGACTACGTAGACGTATATTAGCTTCAAAATCTTTTCGAAAGATAATCCAACTGTTTTGCGGTCGTGGTGGTTTATCACAATTATTGCGAATTTTTTTGGCAGGCTTTGTTAATTCTTCAATTGTAAGCGTTAGAGCATAAGGACATTTATTCAGAAGCTTTCTTTCAGTTTCAGATAAATATTCGATATCGTTCATTTTTCTAAGGGTGATCGAGATTGTACGTATTAAATATGTCTGAAATACTATTCACATGCAAGATTGAACGGGTCTATTTTTTGTTGTTGAATGTATGGGCGATTGTTAGATATGATTCACGATCGAATGGCGTCTATTTCAGCACGATCACGTTACCGTATTGCGGAAGATATGTTGGTAGAAGTCTTTGAAGCAGTTATTTTTTTTGGTTGTCGCCCATGATAAATTGCATCCCTTTATATAAGCATTTCGCCCATATATGAACACACCTATTTTAATCCAAAGAACCTTTGTGTAATGTCAAATATTCCGTGTGAGCAATTAATCCATAATAGGTAATCTTTTTGAAAATCATCATTCATGCCCTTTATAACCTGAATTTTTTTAACACTATTGCTACTGGTTTCTGGTATCAAAAAGGCAGTTTGTGTCATATCTCATCTCCGTAACGGTAACAAAAACAATTTATCATTATGTTTTGGTAAATCATCATCATTATCTAAAAGGCAATTTGTGTAATGTCGAATATTCTGTGCGCGCAAATTCCCCAAACTGGGAAAAGATGCGGTACGAAAGACAGTTTGTATATTCTAAAATGTAAAGTGTGCTAAGAAAAAACCTTGCTTTAAAGCAATTAAATATAAAAAATGTAATGTGTGCTAAAAAAAAACTTCAAACACTAAAATTTTATCCATCTTGTGGAACTGCCGGCCGTAATATCTGCTGCAGTTTTTTCTATCTGAACTTTCACAACTATTGTGAAATGTTTGAGAGAGTAATGGCAGTGGTAGAGTAAGATGGAGGTGATGGATCAACGACCCCCCAGCTGTGACAGAGAGTTGGTCTGGCAGTTCAGCATATAGAGCATTCGTGTGCACAGGCATGATCATAAATTCTGAGTAGCATAATACCGTAAATTATCACACACACACATATATATCTAGCTTCTTACGCTTGCATGATATCAATTCATCACACGTGCTCTAACACGTAATAGTTATAGTTTATAAGTAAAGAATAATTTTTTCAAAATATTCATTTGAACTGTCTTCTTCTCCATCTTCCACCTCCGTTTGTTCTTTTGATATTAATAAAAACATTATAATTAATACTCTAATAAAGAGTTTTTGAAACACTTTTTGTTTGTTGAATTTTGGATATTAATATTAAATAAAATGGCATCTAAATCATATCACCTCCTTTTAGAAGACGACAATGTAGATATCGACAAAAATGGAGCAATAATCAGATATGATGATACGTTTGTAAAAGAAAAACGCAATCATCGATTGACATTACCTCGCCAAAGCGCACCGACAAAAACTAAGAAACGAGCTCGCAAGACCATTCCATCTAGCTTCTCATCAATGTCCTCTATCTCTTCGCATAAAAATACCGAATCTTTGGTAAAGGTCGCAGCCAGACCAAGCAAACGATATGTAAATTTAGAGCTTTGCATGACTTTAACTAAAGCTGAGTATAAGAAATTCAGAGTAAGCAATTGAATTTTCGTTTAATTGAGCATTGATTCTTCATATTTTCGAAGGTTATTCTTTAATCTTATTACAATTATAGGAATTAGGAAACATAGCTGTTTCAAGTCTTTTGAAGATTGAATTTCCTCTAGATTCCCAAGATTCAAAAATGCTCAAGACGTGCAAAAACATGGTTCGCTTATTTTATTTCATCGGTGTCTTTCTGCTCATTTCCTTATCGATGTTCAATTTATTTTTTTACTCTTATTTCAGATATTTTCTTCCTATCCAACACTCGCAACTCGTCGTGACTCGTGGGTAGTGGATGAATTGGTACAGTCGGTTTTTGCGAATAAGCGCAGATATTTCCGACAAAAACAACAAAAAGAATTTAATGTATTGGTGATAAATTTTTTTGAATTTTATTTTTAATAATTTATGCCTAACCAAGCAATGTCTAAATTTTTTATCAGTCGAAAGCCAAACAGGAATCAGCAAAAAATAAACATGCCGATATGATTTTTATTGAAGAAACGGATTCGGAAGAAGAGAAAACCGAGTCCGAGAAAGAAACATCACAGGATGACAAAAGATCGACGTCTTCTGTGGCTGATTTGAGTGAAGAGACATCTACCAGTGAGAATGAATATTCGGATGATGAAGAGGAAGTAAATACAGAAAGTGGGGATAAAGATATTTTCGAGGAAATTGAATTTCAAATTGAGATTACTAAAGAGAAAGAATTAAAGAATACCACCGAAGAAGAAAATAAGAATTTAGAGAATACCACTGAAGAAATTAAGAATTTAGAGAATACCACTGAAGAAGAAATTGATTGTGGATATGAAATAGTGGTTTCATTACCTACAACGGATGATGAAAATGAAAATGAAAATGGTAAACTAATCGTTATGTTGATTTTATTATTAGCGTTAGTTGATCTAAAAATAAATTCTTAGATAATTCTGCAAAGCGACGACGAGTACAAATTTAAGTAAGTACAATTTACTTTCGGTTTTTACATATATTAAATAGTTCAATTTATTTATTGCTCTGATTATTGAAGTTGGTTTGCTTTTTGTTAAATTGTATACTTAGACTCCTTTATTGTAACGTAGATGCAATAGTGATAGAATGTTGCATGTATTGAATTGCATTAGCATTTAATGTATCAATTAACATTGATAATATCTATAAATATAAAATGTCATTTAGAAAATGCACACTTGAGAACATATTGTTTGACGCGCAACTTGTGTTTTGAATGTTTAAAAATGGCCCCTTATACTGTACATTTATTCGTTTTTATATTACTTTATGTACTTTACGCGTGTGCATTACGAACATTAATGCAAATTCTTTACTTGTATTTCTTTTATGTAAATTGTAAAGGTGATTTTAAATTTTATTATTTTGAAAGCTTATATTTTGTAGTAATTCTTATTTTGCTATAAATTATTTTAAAAAGTTTAAGATTGTAATTTAATCTATTGTGCTATTGGAGAGATTGATCAAAATTGAAGTAGAAATAATTGTTCGCCAGAAACAAGCCGAATTCATTAATAGGAGCGCCATTCAAATAGGTTCGTCTTGATTTGCTTTTTGTCGTAGTTAGCGTCGGCCAATCTTGCTCGTTAACGGATCCTATCGAAGAAATATTATCACCTAAATTTGCTGTTAAATTGAGAAGCTCATTAGTGTTTAAAAAAGTAAACTTTGAGCCAAATTCACTAATGGGTGATACTGTTTTTGTCTCTTTATTATTTGCTGTGATCAGGTTATTAACAGTTTCTTCGATTTTAGTAACTTGTGATTCGAGAAGTTTGATAGTTTCTTCACCATCAAATGTTGAATTACAATTGTTGCTTTGTTGTAGAAGTGAAGACTTTGCCCCGAGGACTGGCTTTTTTGCTCTTTTCTTCGGTGGATATAATGAATTGCGAATCTGAAAGATTGAACGACGACCTATTAACTCGTCAATTTCGGAATGGTTGCGTTTTTGCGGGTTTTTAGAGTTACTTGACTTCGTCAACGCCATTTTTTATTATTACGTTGTTATTGTTTCGAGTAAAGTTCACTACGTATTTATATTTTTTTCTGATTATCTTGGCACATTTCTCTAGATTTCTATTTTTTCTATTTTAGATTTCCTTTTTAATCAGTGGGTGGCTTAGGAATATGTCGTCATTTCCTTTAATATAAAGCAAAATAGGAAACATCTCTCAAGTTAATTGGCGTGTAATGGGCAATTATAATTCAACGGATTATACCGCACGAAAAGTTATATATCATGCAAGCTGTAAACAAAAAACGATAATTAGCATAGTGAATTTATTTTTAGCATTACTTTGATTATTATTATTTCAATGTTTATTGTTAAAGAATACGTTTGACTTTGACATAAATTTCTCATGCGTTTCCAAGACTTTCTATAGTGTTACTTTAAAATGTTCTCTCCTAATTTAGCGCAGGCAAATACTTCTTCACCCAAACTTCTAATTAATGTTTTCTTACACTGAAATTCTTCAGAAATTTCATCTCCGATTGGATCAACTAATTACATGTACTTATATGAACTGTATCAGGTATAAAAAAACCGTACGCCACTGGATGGAAAATCAATTACAGTGACTTCCAAAACGGAACACTAAAAATTCTCGGGATTTTTATCTCCGTCAATATTTAATCCAAACGAATAAACAAGTACTCATTTTAAATCTCGAAACCTAGCATTTTTTGGAAAATAATTGGCAACTGATTAGTTTAACTACTTTTGTGAAAGTGTGTGGTTTCAATTAATAAATTTCGACTACTAACTTTTTCCAAGACAAAAATCCACTAATTAAAAAAATTCTACCTACGAAATCTACTTTCGTGCCAATTTTCATAAAAATTGGCTCAAAATTTATCGAGACATTAGACCCCGAAATTCAATTAGGAGCATTAATTCGACTAATAGAGCAAATTTTTTTATGATATATAGATTTCGTAGGATAGCGATAGGACATTTTAATTGGTGTCCAAATTAGGGTTTTTGTCTTTAGAAAAAAAAGTTCTGTAGGTCAAAATTTACTAATTGAAAAATTTGACTTAAATATCTAAAAATGGTTACGTAAATGATTTTTTTTTAAAAAAAAATATGGGCTGATTTGACTCCCAAAACTTAGATTTGGCCAGTGTTGATAATTTTGACTAGAGTTAAATCGTTAGAGTCACAGTTTATTTAGTTTGTATTACGTACTACGGAGATAAATAAATATCCGAATCACAAACTGGGAATTTTTCCAACAAGTATAAATATTAATGTAAATATAACTAATATACATGCAATAAGATAAAAAAAAACAAGTCTAACAATTGATTAAATAAATATAATAAATTAGACAATGTATTTATTGTCTAGAACCAAGAAAATTTTGCTTGGAGCATCACCACCGCATGTGCATATAAGATTTTAGTTGAATCAACTGCGTCCGCAAGCCACTGAATCTCAACAATATTCCAGTCATCTTGTATTAAAAAAAATAAATTAGTCGTGGATTGGTACATAAAAGCAATCTAATAATAACTTTTTCTCTCCCACCAAAGTAACTACGTCTCTTTCTTCGCTGGACACCGACCCTATAAGAAATTTGCACGTAATATGTCTGTAAAAGGTCACTTTTTACGTGTGTTACAGACGTAAATAACGCTGTAAAGTCTATATACATATTCAATTACGTATTTATATGTCTGTAAAAAGTTTCCGTTTACGTATCTTTTACAGACATATCAGACTTTTTCGTATTTCTTTACAGACATTTACAGGCGTATTTTTCTTGTAGGACTATCCGTTTAATTACTTTACGAAGCATAATGATTTAATAAATGGACGGTAAATATACAAATCAAGGAAGAGGATCCTATGCTTGTAAAGATTAGTTTTATTTCAGAATTTTTCATAAATACCGTAAATAGTCATATAAAGGACCCTGGGTCTGTTACATTCCACAGTTCATAAACCTGACCTGTATTATACCCGGAAGTCTATTACACGGAATATGAACATCCACTGTATAAACATAATTTTTCTACCTCTAATGATTACATTTTTATATAATAGACCTAGTTTGCCACGTTAAATAGGCGAGGTTACGGTAATAGCATTTGGAACATGTTTCCAAGCTTTCGTATAAATTATAGAACTTTTATTTTTCATGTATATGTAATTCTTTATTACGTAGTCACTTATATGCAGCTCGATATGGTAGTTTCTATGAATGATACAAAATGACAACATGAGCTTGTGCGTTACGTGTACTACGTGCAACCAATGATACAAGATTTTTGTGTTATCGTTATATAATAGTTTGAAGAATTAACGTTAACTAATATAAAATACAAATTTTCAATAAAAAAATATAGTTAAGAAATGTATGATAGTAAATGAATTATATTCATTTTTTTTTTGAGATAAGAAATATACATTAATGTCATTGAAAAAATGTTCGTTAAGAATTTCCGAATTTTACAACCCTAATTCGCTTGTCGAATATATATTAAAATCATTTAAAGGTATATTACACCAACTAAAGACAAAGTCAAATTGTCTTGGCTGTAATTTTAGTTCCTGCTCTTCATTTTGCTGCTCTATTAGTTCTGTATTCTGTTCCATATAATTATTATTAAGTAAACCCAAATTCTGTGTTAATTTCAATAATTCGTCGGTGCTCAACTCCGAAAACTTGCTGTCTTTAGTATTCGATTTATCAGAAATTTTTTCCGAGGAGTTTTGAATGATAGTGGATTTGGTTAAGACATTTATCTTTTGTTCAATTCCGTCAATATGTGATTCAAGAATTCGAATGACTTCTTCGAAAATTTCGTTTTCGTCGTTTTCGATTTGGGAATTTTGTTTATTAGATTTCGCGCGTCGTCGTGGCGGGTATGAAATTCCACGTACTTGAAAAATTGAACGGCGGCCAGTTGTGTCTATTTCAGAACGATCATGTCGTCGTATTGCGGAAGATATGGTTGTGTGAGAAGTCTTGGATTTTGAAGCAGTCATTTTCATTTTCTTATTATTATTATTATTATATCGCTAGAATTTTTTTAAATTGCCTCCCTCGTATTCGGGCTTTATTTATAATTTTTTGACGCTGTTGTGTAACAAACTTGAGATGTGAACACGTGATATGTGTTACCGTTAGGGTTAGGGTTAGAGTGGAGGACTAAAGTATATGTTCCAAGTTGGAATTAAGTTATTTTAATTTAATATTGCGGGTCAAATTCCAAATCAACACAGATTCTATTCCAACTTACAACACAGATAAAGATACTCAAGAAAATTTACGTGTATTAATTACATTGTTCAATTCACTTGCAAAAAAACTTGATTATATTTTCTTGGGAATCATGAATGATGTAATATCGATATGCGTGTGTTAATAATCCATTCCGGTTATGGTAAATTTTTTTAACACAACGACTGGAAACAATATTCGAAACAGAATGCCACATCGAAAAGGTAACAGTCCTCTCGTACAATGTCAACTAAATTGTTGAAAAAAAAGGTGAATTACAAAAAAATCAGCAAACCCCTCAATGTCAACTGAAATGAACACTATATAACGATAAATAGCCTTTTGTTACGGAGATGAGATATGACACAAATTGCCTTTTTGATACCAGAAACCAATAGCAATAGTGTTAAAGAAATTCAGGTTATAAACGGCAAGTAGCCAAAAACTTCAAAAAGTTTGCCATTTTTTTGCGTGCAACCTAATGTATAACCTATTATGAATTAATTGCGCACACAGAATATTTGAAATTACACAAACGGTTCTTGGGATTGTCTTCCAGATGATTAATTGATAAAATAGGTGTGTTCATATATGGACGAAATGCTTATATAAAGGGATGGGTTATGTGTGCAATTTATCAAGGGCGACAACCAAAAAAAATAACTGCTTCAAAGACTTCTATCAACATATCTTCCGCAATACGGTGACGTGATCGTGCTGAAATAGACATAACTGGCCGCCATTCAACAATCGCCCATACATTCAACAACAAAAATAGACCCGTTCAATCTTGCATGTGAATAATATTTCAGACATATTTAATACGTACAATCTCGATCACCCTTAGAAAAATGAACGATATCGAATATTTATCGGAAACTGAAAGAAAGCTTCTGAATAAATGTCCTTATGCTCTAACGCTTACAATTGAAGAATTAACAAAGCCTGCCAAAAAAATTCGCAATAATTGTGATAAACCACCACGACCGCAAAACAGTTGGATTATCTTTCGAAAAGATTTTGAAGCTAATATACGTCTACGTAGTCCTGGTGTTAAGCAAAAAGTCAAAAACACAGCAAATGAATGCAGCTTAAAGTGGAAATTGCAATCAAGTGAAGTCAAGGATTTTTTCAAAATTTTAGAGAAAATAGCTTGTGAAAATCATAAATATATATATCCCAATTATAAATATAAGCCAAAAGATGCAAAAAATGCAAATAGCAAAAAATTTATTTTTCGAGAACAGAAAAAATATGTATTTCCTTCATCAGTTAAACCCGACACAATAAATTTTAATTCACTTCAAAAAGCAACACAAATCGACGGGTCATCTCAAGAAGTAAACGACGGGCGGCCATCTTTAACTTTCAATTCACAAACTAACAGGTCGCCATCTCTAACTTCTAGTTCACCTAAAGAAGCCATACAAGTCGATGGGTCGTCATTTTTAACTTTCAATTCACCCCAGGAAGCAACACAAAGCGACGGGACATTCTCATCTTTAACTTTCAATTCACCTCAAGATATAACACAAGTTGATGGGACAACCATTTATACTCATCAAGACAATACAAATAACTTTGCAACAATTATGTATAATGAAAATTCGATCGGCGACGCGTTTAATGGATTGGATCATAATCAATTTCCTATTTTATTTTTCATTGATAATAACGATAACGATAATATTAACAACAACGATAATGATAATGATAATGGTAATGATAAAAATACAGATAGGTATGAAGCTCATTTAAGCGAACTAATTTCTTCCGAACCAAACAAAATTTATAAAATCCAAAGTAGTGAAGGTAATAATGATAATATGAATACTACTTCACCTTTATCGCAGCCACAATCACTTTTACAACTATATGATTTATCAAATTGCATTTTTGACAACTTGTTATATGATAACTTCTCTTAATAATTTATACTTTAATTTCGTAATGTTTACTACGTTAGATAATTATCCTTTATCTTCTTTTTTCAGCATACTTTGTTCCTTTTATATATAAATTATTCTCACACATAATATTTCTAGCATTAATTTTGTGATGATGTTTTCATTAACTCGTGCGTTCTTTCGTCACTTCGTCATTCGTTCTTTCGTTACTTCGTCATTCGTTCTGTTGTGTTTGTTCTCTAATTATATTTCGATATTTGTTTTATTTACAGTACTCTCGACCTAAATAATGAGAATTTTTTGCTTTGTTGTATTTTTAACAAGGAACATGCATCAGAAAGATTTAAGAATCAGGAAATATATTATTTAAATTTTAAGGAAAATTCTATTAGATTGAATGGTTTAATTAAGAAATTATAATGACTTGCTATTAGTTTGGCAACACAATTCATTATTTAAGTATTTTTTTATAATTTCAATAAGCTTTCTTAAATAAAATTGTTTTTCATAATTTTTGACCAAATATAAATTTAAAAAAATCATTTTTATTACATTATTATTTTTTTGATAAAAAACAAGAAATATACATTAATGTCATTGAAAAAATGTTCATTAAGAATTTCCGAATT